TTTTACAGGTTCTTAGAGTTTATTTCCAAAACAAGCATCATCACAAAAAATCGACTGAAAAGCGTACATTATAACTTTTCTGTCAATTTGCACGTCATTTGATTTTCGAGAAAAGTGAAAAAATCAAAACATATGTCGAGCACAGTCGAAAGATACCCATTTTTGGTCGAGAAAGTTGACGCATAGGTCGAGCAAAGTCAAAATATAGGGCGAGTATAGTCAAAACATAAGTGGAGCACAGTCGAAACATACCCAATTTCGATCGCGAAAGTCGAAAAATATGTCGAGCTTCCACAAATATGTCGAGCTTCCACAAGTAGAGTTTCCACTAATCGACTTTAACCAAGAAATATTTAAAAAAAGAATATATTTTTACAAAGGAGTAATAGAAACCGTCTCACTATCTGAGCTATTTGTTTGATATTGAAGACTTGTAAAAAGCTAAATAACAAAATTAATTTTTCAGGTCCAAAATTTGATATGAAAAACTGAACCACAAAAAACAGACCACAAAAGATTTTTTGAACAGTTTTTGGAGCAATTACAGCCGACAATGAAGCAAGAAAGTTTTTTGTTTGTCAAGAAAATCGAGGCAGTCGAAACATACTCTATGTCGATCGAGAAATTCGGAACATATCTATGCCGCGATTACAGCCGACAAGGAAGCGAGAAAGTTTTTTGTTTGTCAAGAAAATCGAAGCAGTCGAAACATGCCCAGTTTTGATCAAGAAAATCGAAACAAATCTATGCGGGGTCGAACAAATTAACTTTAAAAATGTCGGTCGAGACAGACGAGAAACTCGAAACATATCGAACTTTGTTCGAGAAAAATGAAACATATCTGAACTGGGTCGAAAAAAGTCCACCACTTTTTTTGATGGGTCGAGAAAGTCGAAACATACCAAAATTTGGTTGAGAAACTCGAAGTATATTACTAGGCCAAACTGTGAGTGCATTGTAACCGGAATCCACACAGACCAAAATCATATTTGTCGCGGAATCCGCAGCATTGCTACTACTCTTTGATCTTTTTGCTGTTTTGGATTCCACAAACAAATAACTAAATGATCGTACCGCTCAGAGGCGCTCCAAAAATAGGCGAATTTGCGGAATAAAGAAATTTTTGTAGAATACACAAACAAAAATAAAACATGTGTATAGTTAAATTGAGCTGTTGCGGAATCCGCAAATTGTAAGTCAAATCCGCATTTTGTTTGCGGATTTTGATTACAAAAATATAAATATGTAGCATAGCGTTTAAATTTGTATCTTGCATTTACTCAGCTATTCAGAGAGATGTAGCATCATGTATTCAAACGAAAAAGATGCCCTCATGATTTGATTTCACTTTCGACTCATCTCAAATACATGAATTCACTAGAATCGGAATCTACTAGATCATTATTTGGGTTTGTTGGAATCCCAAATACTGACTAGTATTTGGGATTGATACAACCCCGAATACTGACCTAATTCGGCAATATGATGTGCGCTGTTTTTCCAAAACACAATTTATTCGGTTTGGTGTGTTTTCGACAATGTGTTTCTGTATATTCGCATTGTTTTCGACAATGTGAATTCTGTATGTGGGATGATGCAATCCCAAATACTGACCTTATTTGGCCATATTGACCTTATACGCGTTTTTTTCCAAACACTCTCAACCCAATGATTTCAAAATTTGAATTTCTTCGGTGTTGTGTTTCCAAAATCCTAATAAAGGGTGACATCCGCCGATTTAGTTAGCCAATGATTTGAGATTTGTTCGTGGATTCCGCTGACAATGAATAAGTCCTTGCTTTTAGATTGCTATCAACAAGATTTCCAGCTCTAGCTTTTAATTATTCATATGAAAGCTCAGAAACAAACAAAACTCGGAATCCACTTACAACTTGCGGATTCTGCTTACATTTTTTGCGGATTTCACTTTTGTTTGCGGATTCCACTTACTTTTTGAGGAATCCACATACAGTTGCGGAATCCAGAACAGCTAGCTATATTTGATTGTTGCGAACCCACGACACAACAAATGTACCTACAAAATTCACGTTACAGGTATTTGTACGAGGAATCCACGGAGGTTTTGTTAGTGAGAACCACTTTTATTTTGGAACATGTTCAACGATTTGTCTATAGAGCCCAGGAACATACAGACACACATTTTGGCGCCTTTCAAGTGCACAGTTTGGCCTCGTAATGTACCAATTTTTGTTTGAGAAATTCGAAACATGAATCGAGCACCTCGACCCGGGAAGCATAAGCCGCTTTTTTATTTCATGGAATTAGAGTACCATGGCAATTAGAAAAGCATCGGAAGCTGCAAACTCTATGCGTACATGAAAGAGAACAGAATTATTGAATCAAACAAAAATCTCATACAAAATTTTTAATTTGAAATGCTGATTTAAATTATGACTAACTTCTCTTTTCATTTTCAGAAAATTCAATATTATTAACTTATATGGCATGGCTGTTGTTTTTTGGCTTTTTTTCCGGGTGCTTATTTTGTTGCTCACAATTAACAGTAACAAGAACCCCTTTTAGCGTTTTGAGCTTATACACAATATTACGCTTTTTTAGTATTATGAAATATGGGTTTTTTGTTTTCTTCCGCTTTAGCTGCAAGTTGACAGAAAACTTTGAAGGATTGCAAGTTTGAATTAATACAAAGAGACTGACCCATTTTTTGAGAAGTATCATAGGGCTGCAAAATCATTTTTTCATACCACATGATGTTTATTTTGCTGGGTCACTCTTTGAGCTTGTCACTTTTTTCAAGATGAGTGCGTGCCTTATAACAATAATCAAAAATTTCAATTTCAGTCCACAATAAGGCAATTCCTGATGCTTCCACTTATCAAAGTGTCAAATTTTTTGTATATTCTTAAAGATGTGCCTTCAAGCTGTTCTAAATTTCTTAAGCTGAAAATATTTTTAAAAAGTTTTGAAACCTAGTTTTTTGCAAAAAATTTTCTGTCTTGCTTTCAATTAGCAGCTTCCCAACCTGGTTTCGCTGATGCTACAGAATTGTAAGTCTTTAAAAAACTTCTTCTTGTGTAAAATGATTAAAGTTAACAGTTCTCAGAAGCTGTTTTAAACTGCAATGACAACACTAGTTCAGGGTGTAAAGCAAAAATTTCAGGTGCAATTGGCCTTTCCAACTAGGCTTACAAATTACCTGTCGAGTTCATCTCAAAAGAAACAATTACGATCTCAACAAAGACACGGAACACGGTTCAAAGTTCACCTCGAATACGAAAACTAATAAGCCAGTACTCATTTGGGGAAAACATGGCTCGTTTCCAAAATTTCAGCGTGAAACCGCATGTATATTGAGTTTGCTAACCTAACTCATCGCTCCAATTATTGCTCCAGTGCTATCGTTTTACTGGCTGTATCCGCTTTGTCGCCGCCGTTGAGTTCGAAAGCAAGCATCTCCTAATTTAAATTAACCGTCATTCTCTAGTCATCTCATTTCTAACTTTCCTTGAATTTCTGCATAACCATCAGTGTATCGATAGTTTTCGGGCGATTATACAAACACTTGTGCTGTCTTGGAGCTCATTGCTTCCTTCTGATCCTTCCTGCATTATTGGTCAAAAACGCAAGGCAAACATAGTCAAGTCAATGATGGCTGGTTTACCAAAAGAGCGTTTAACTTATCGGCCAGCGTCTATCACCACATGCGGATTTGGCTATTTTGGTCCATTTTTTGTTGAAAAACGGAACGCGTTAAAACCGAATACTTACGAGCATGAAATTATGCGCAGTCAATATAGAATTTCCATCTAGGCACAGATTCTTGTGTCATAGGGTTGGGGGTTTCATTGGTTTCATTGGTCCCACCTTCATCTGGTCGGTAACGGAATCAACTTTGTCGTCTCGGCAAAAAAGTTCTAAAATGCATCGAGAATTGGAAAATGCATGCACTGGCACTATTCGTTCATAAACAAAATTTGTGGAAATTCAATTCACCCAGTGCTACAAATTACGGTGGCGTTTGGTAGAGATTAGTCCTTAGCTTGAAACGAGTTTTTTTATCTGATTCAAGGTTGTTAAAAATCAACGGACGAGATCCTTCAAACAAAGTTTTGCTTTGTGGAGCATTCGCTAAACAATTTCTTGTTAGCATCAAATGAGATCGCGAAGCGTTGACACGAAATCTTGTTTTATGGAAAAACTGTGTGAGCTTCTCGCCGTTGAGAGGAAGACTTTGATCACCGCAAGCAATGCGCACGTACGTGCTCAGTTGTATGCGAACTCGACTTAGACCCGTCGACTGAGAGAGTATGTGCCGAAACTGAACAAATGTGCTAATGGGTACATTTTATTGGAATGTAATTTGAAGACTGACAATAATGTGCGGATAGTAGACGACGCCAAACCTCGTGGTCATTACCCGTCGGCCCGAATTACCACAGTGAATTACAGCAACGCCGGCGTTTCGCAACCCTTTTTTTTCAAACGTCAAAAAGTCGAGTACAACCGACCGACCAAAAAACTGGCACCCGTTCTCGCTCCGTTACGGGTGGAAGATGTTAGCTCGTGCTAACTAATACATTTAGTTACCATAATTTGAGCTTTTCTTATACATTTTAGGTCAATTTTTATCAAAACTAAAACATTATTTTCTAAAACTAAAACAACATTTAACATCAAAAAGACAGCCCAATGCGGCTTTCTAGATTAGCATCATTGCAGGAAAATTTTTTTGTCATTTAGTTAGAGTACTTAGGAAAACTGCATGTTATGTTTTCTTTATGCTTTCTTATATGATTTCTTGTTTTCTATATGCAAATTGCTGTTCTTAAAGTTTTACTTTTTTATCAAAATTGATAATTGGAGCAGTTTTTTTTATTGAATAGTTTGTTGTTTTTTTTGAACTTATAAGGATATTCTATTTACTTGTGTTTACTCTTTCTTGCACTTTCGATTATGTTTCAAAATCAGGATTTAAAAATTGATAATTTACAGAAATCCTTTTACTAGTATAACTCGTACTTTCAGTCATATGTAAGCTATTCGTTATTGCAGAGAAGATTTAGTTTTCATTTTCTGTTATTAGATTGATAAATTTAGCTCAGAGGTCAAAAGTGTGAACAGAATAAGCCATGAGTTGTGTCAATCCATGTCTGTGTTGAGGTAGTGCCACATAGTGATTGGCTGTCTGCGTTTGGCCAGCATCTCTCGCCAATGTTGAGTCTCTTTTTGACCACCTCTCTTTCCAAGAGTCACACTCCCTGGATTAAACTTTTAAACTCAATATTGATCCGTGAAAATAAAAATGAAACCGGGGAGCGGTGGTGAAGTGGTTACGTCCCCGCCTCTCAACCGAGAGGTCGGATGTTCGAGGCCCACCATGATCCGTGCTCGTTGCTTGAGGGTGAAGCAAAATTACCCAGCCCAGAAAAATAACCAAAAAAATTGCATTTAGTTCTTAAGCAAGGGCACAACAGCGGTTCGCCGTGATGAGCTGTACAGCTCTTGTGTTGGTCCTTTCCCCCGTGGATAAATGGTCTTAAAAAATAATTATATGATTGCTTCATGAGGCCAAGGCCAACTTGCGCGCTGGCTTAAGGGGCATAAAAAAACGCGGATTGCACCCCTTTTTTGTTTAAATTTTAACCAAACCCCCCCCCCCCCAACTAGCATGATCATCGAATTGAGGGTGTAACGAGCGGTTTTACAAAGTTTTGGTATGAAGACCAAATATGTTCATCCTGGCTTAGTTGCTTACTCAGTTCGCATGTAAATTTCATAACAATCAGATAACGCAAACAATAGTTTTCCAGGTGGGAGGAAAAAGAGCCATAACTATTCGTTGTATGAGAAAATGCTCGATTTTTATGGAGACAAGATAAGCAAATGCGAACATCAAAAAAAGGTTAGTCCTTGACAGAATCCTTAAAATTGTTATATTTGTATAATTAATCCTAAGTTGTTGAAAAATAGGGTATCTATCCAGGGGCAGATTTAAGAGGGGGTGGGGGGGGCGGACACCCCCCCCCCCTTCAGGGATTCGAACCCCTGCCAACCCAAAGGTACCCCCTTTGGTACTTTTTAAGAAATCCATTTTTGGCCGACCGACCCTAAAATTTTTCTAAAGGCGCCTTGGGCGCCAATATATACTAACTTTGAGGGGGAGCGCGCGCCAAAAAAACGCGTTTTTTTTTGTCAAAATTTTCCAAAAAGTGCCCAAAAACGGCTTTTTTGACCAGTTTTTTCAAAAAATTGACTGCGGCGCAGAAAATTTGGCCAAAACAGGGTCTTTTTACTGCTTTGGGAGAGCTCGGAAAATCAATCTGATCGACCTAAAAAAAAAAAATCGTCAAAATTTTCCAAAATTTTTTGAAAATCCGCCCCCCCCCCCCTCGAGTAAATCCTAGATCCGCCGCCCTGTATCTATCGGATCTTTTCAATTATACCCCCCCCCCCCTATGATGATAAATGTAAATGAAATTTTTATTACAAAATTGGACTAATTTTACTCAGAGATGCAGGAACTTATATCCCGAGCTATAAATCAAGCTAGAAAAATTGCTTTTTGAGTTAGGACCGATGTGGTTAACTCATAGAGTAATTTCGGATAGGGTACACCGTCTGCTCGTCACGCTATCTTATTTTCGGCCGGATAGATTCGTGCAACTTCTTAGTCTAATACCGATCCTAATCTTACTCTTATACTATCTAGTCTCAGGGTGTTTAACTAGTCTCTGCTAGGCTCAATAGATCTAGGGTATACTGGTTTATTGCGGCTGTTGAAGTCTTCTTGGAGAGTCAACTAATTTCTAAGTTAAATTCAAATCTCTCTGGTGCTGAAATTACAAGTAATTCCAGCACTTACAAATAGGTGGGTTGTTAGTTTGATGGATCATGATTGGTTAATATTAAATACTTTACAGTGGTAAAATATCTAATTTATCCAATCATAAAATGTAGTTTAGATCAGGTTCCACCCATCCGGGTTTTACAGAGTTTTTTAGAATAGTCTTTCTGCAATTCAAAGGATGGATGATGTGCGTTGGTATTTGGCGAACATCATATTTCTTCTGGGTTCTCTTGTTAGAGAAGTTCCAGGTTCAATCGCTGTGTCTTCTCATGACACTGACTGGGTTTTCGCAACAAACTCAAATCTGATTTCAGAATGGTTGGCTATGACAGGTTTTTTTCGTTTCATGTAGAGAACTTCTTTGTATTTGACCTTGTCTGGGAATGGCGTGGAGATTGTGCGTGGAGGGGATGCCTGGTTACTCGGATCTGTACGTATACTTGAACATCGAGGTGGTCATTGGTCTAGTTCAATGAAGTCCTTTTCTGCGAAGTCAAGTCGTACTCTAAATCCTTTGAGTTGTGATTGTGGGCGGCATATTGATTGTGGTTGGCCATTCTTTTTCGAGTGTATTGGGGTCATTTTGTCTTTGGATGTTCGTCTTTGGTGTTGTATGCTGATCTGTATACTGCAAGGTATAATTTACATTTTATAAAATTTTTATTAGTTTGGTGTTTTAATTATGATTTTGGTTAGTTGTTTTCACAAAAGCTTTTTGTTTTAGTTCGGTTATTTTGAAGAGTTACTCACCCTTGAGTACCTCTTATTAAAAATAGGAGTGTGGTCACAAAGCGTGGATGTAGCGCGGTGGGTTAGGCCGGCTATAGAGCATGCTCAGGACGTCCTCTCTGGTGGGTTAGGCCAGGAGTGGGAGTATGATTTCGTGCGGTTTCTGTGAGAGGTCCTGTTATGTGATAACTTTTTATGTTGGGTTTATTGTGGTTTTTCTTATGTTTCGTTGGTTGTGTCCTTTTTTCAAAAATCAAATTGTTTTTGGTATGGGTTTGTCTTTCGACTTTTTGGTGTTTTATTATTTCTTTCTTAGACTTTATAATAGTCTTCAAAAGAATAAATTATCCAGTTTTAAACTGGGTTAATCCGGTTTGGGTACCGTTGGTTTCCTTTTCTTAGTCATGCTGTTATTCTATGTGTTGTGGTGTTTAGTAAGCTGCATTGGTTAGTTTTGTTTAGTATATAATTCCTTTCCAACAGGGTTAAAGGAAAGTTTGAAATTTGTTATCGTGTGTTAGAGTTGTTGAGTGTGAAAATTTAAAACTGAAATTCATTATTTAAACAAATCTTCGTGGGCGAGCTTGTGCGAGTTTGGATAGAATTCTTGTGCGAGTGAATGAAAATATCAAAAGGTTAGTACTGCATTTGCGTTTTATCAATTTACTACATAGAATTTCAATTTTACTGCTAGTTTTGGGGAAAAATTAAGTTACAAATTTTCATCATTATTAGAATTACTGCTTTTGGGGGAATAATTTATAAATTAATTTACTACATTGGTATGAATTTTATTGAATTTATCTAGTGTAAAATATTAATAGAGTTTTTAAGAATTTGAAGAAGTTTTCTATTTTTTATTTTTCTTTTGTGCATTTTGCAGATGATCGTGAGATGAAGACTAAAAATCTAAATAAAACATGGATAAAGAATGGTTAGTGTTTTATTTTAAATTTATTAGTTAAGAATATGTATAAATTATACTTACCTGTTAGTCGTCGGGGAAAAAACCGTGGGGGAAGATGTCGTGGATTATGTCGGAGTTTGTTAGTAATTTTGCTAGTATGCGAATGATGGTTTTATTTTGAAGCAGTGGCCAAAGCAATTGAAGTGCTTTAATGGTTTTTAGTTCTTCAGTGCCAACTGCAAAATCATAAGGTGAGTTTTGGATGAGATTATATAATTTGTGGTTATATTTAGTGTTGTGGATGAATTCTAATATGGGGATTTCTATAGGTTGAACAAATTCAAGTGGGATAAGGAAGGGTCTGGATTCTTCTGCGTTGAAGGTCTTTGTGATGGGACAAAAAATATACATTTGGGTTATGGGATCATAATTGCGAAGAATACCGTGAAGGTTAGTATCTTTGATGCAATATGTGAAGTTAAGAAAAAATGGTGGTGTGTATTTAGAGTTAATAAATTGAAAACGATGGTGTGGTTGTCTTGATGGAGTGTGTAGGTCAAAGTGATTTTGTATAAAGCGGTAATATGTATATGTGTGGGTTTGTTTAGTGCGTAACATAATGTCGTGTGAGCAGTGCAAATCTCGTTCATGTGGTGCAAGGAAGTGAAAGGTTAGTGAAAATAATTGAAATCTTTCTTTGAAACTTTCGTTAGCTTGTGTGTCGGTTAGTGCTTCAGAAATGATGTGGTCGAATTTGCGATCAAATATATTGAGTGTAAAAACATATGGTGTTTTGATGAAAAATTTTTCTGTGATTTGTGGGTTAGCGAAGCGATCATCATCTAAAAATTGGTCTTGGTTAGTTCGGATGATGTTATGATCGTAATATTCTAGCGTATATTCGGTAGCTAGGGGTGCAGTGTATGTTTTTAGTGATTTTTTATATCCGATGTAAGTAAATTGTCTATGTGTTAGTGGTGTAGTGAGTCGATATAGCATATCTTGATTTCGTTCTATATCGATGTGAGTATTAGATAAAGGTAGGCAAAGGGGGTTAGTAAAATGATAATATGATGTCCAATGAAGTGTAGGCATTATAACTTGTTCATCTACAAAACTACGTGTGTCGTTAGTGTCCTTAGGAGTGTTCAAAGTATATTGTGGAAATGAAGGTAGGGTGATTGCTAAAAAACCTTTCGTGTTAGTGTGATTTGGGTGATTAATATATTCTCGAGCTATTCCTGGTTTTGTTGGAAATGGATGGTTTGGGAATTTTCTTTTGAAAGTGCGGTAAGCTCTATTAGTGCTAAGTGATGATTCGGTGGATGTGGATGATGGTGCTAGTGATGCGGTATAAGCTGAAGAGGGTGTAGGGGTAGGTGGGTTTGATGATTCTATGGTTGATGAAATTTGGTTTATAGTTGAGGTGTCAAGGTGGAAGGGTTGTTGTTGTAAGGTGATAAAATTATCTAGTTCTTGGGAGATTTGGGGGGTGTCTGGAGAATTGGATGATCGATCTGAATGAAGTGAAGAGTAGGTTGGGGTAACTTGTGAAGCATAGGAGGGTGTGGAAATGGATGGGAGTGGGTTATATGGTGGGATTGGTTGAAAAGAGGGTTTCGAAAAAACTGAGGGATTGGTTTGAAAATTATTGGATGGAGATGGTTCAGAATCGGCAAATTCATCAGGGGTTTCAATATCTGGGTTATTGAGTTGTGAGATGGAGTATAAAACTGAGTTATGTGAATTAGTGTCTGAATTCATGCCTGATGTTA